ACTGACAAAGGAGATTAATCAGAACTGGCTTTGACAAGCACTGTGGCAATTGGACAATTAAAACAGACATGGGGGGGGAGAAGAACAAACTGGGGAGGAGGGTGGAGAAAACAGTGTAACAATGAATGAATGAAAACCCAAAATCTCTGTAAATGTTTATTAAAACTAATGAAATTTAATAATAAAAAAAGAAATAAAACCCAAACTAATCACACATGATCCCACAACCAATGCCCATAGGTTGGATTCTTGAATGAAGGACAGGTTGGGTTCCCTTTAGGAAGGACACCATTTCCTGCTAAACATTTATTAATAATTTTCTCAACTTTCTTCATATCAACATGTGACTATCAAGATCACTGTGCACTGAGAAAAAAGACACCACTCCTCTCTTACTGACACAGCTAGATTCCAAAGACCATGTCATTATGTGAAAATCAGTGCTATTTGAAAATGTAAGATGAACATACAAGATCATAAACAGAGAATGATTCCATCATTACAGTCATTCCAACAGAACAAGGGGAAACTGCGTGGCTTAAAAATCAGCAAAGATGTGCTGCAGGGTTGTATCCTTTCTCCATACCTATTCAATATGCATGCTGAGCAAATAATTTCATAAACTGGGCTACATGAAAAAAGTAAACAAAGTCACATCAGAATGAGAGGAAGACTCATCAACAGCCTATGCTATGCATGTTAGACAACCTTGCTTGCAGAAAGTGAAAAAGATTTGAAGTACTTATTGAAGATTAAAGACTACAACCTAATTTGGCTCTTAGGATCTTTATTGTTTGGGCTTTACCCTTAGGTATCTGCTTCACCTTGAGTTGATTTTTATATACAGTGTGAGATATGAATTCTGCTTCAGCTTTCTGTAGCAGTCCAGTTTTGCCAGTACCATCTGTTGAAGAAGATGTCATCCCCCTATTTGATAGATTTTGATTCCTTGTCAAGTATCAGTTGACCATAGATAGATAGATGAGTTAATTTCTGGGTTCTTGATTCTGTTGCATTGGTCCATGTGCCTGTCATTGTATGAGCATCATGCTGTTTGGTACAGCTGTATAGTAGGTTTTGTGTCCCACCTCATTTTTGTTTTCCAGAAGTACTTTGCTTATTCAATGTTTTTTTCCAAGTAAACTTGCAAGTGGCCTTTCCAATCTTCTTGAAAAATGAATTTTTGTACCTGTATTGGGATTGTGTTGAACATGTAGATTACTTTCAGTAGGATTGTCATTTTTACTCTATTGAGTCTTCCTAGAAGATCAACATCAGGAAAACAAAGATTTTCATCACTGAGCTGATTGGCAGCATCATGATAGATAATGAAGAGATTGAGTTGAGATTATTATCAGCTTTGGTTTGCTTGGCTCCACAATCAACACTCTTGGTACCTGCATCCAGGAAATTAAAAGATTAATTGCATTGGGAAAGTGTGCTGTCAGGGACCTCTCCAAAATACTGAAAAGCAATGATGTCATTTGGAAACCAAGGTGTGCCTGATACAGGCCACAGTCTTTGCAGTTATTTGCTATGTCTCAGAAAGCTGGACAATGACTAGGGATGATAGAAGGAGTATTGATGCCTATGAGCTGTGGTGCTGGAGAAGAGTACTGAATACCATGGACTGCTAGGAGAACAAACAGGTTTGTCCTGGAGAGGGTGAGACCAGGCTGCCCCTTAGAGGCAAGAATTCTAAAGCTTTATCTGACATACTTTGGACATGTTACAAGGAGGGAGCAGCCCTTGGAGAGGGACGTTATGCTTGGGTAGATGGAGGGACAGCACAAGAGACAGCACCCTCGATGAGATGGATTTAGTGACGGGGGTAATGAGAGTAGGTGTGTCAGAGACAATAAGATTGGCACAGGATAGAATAGGGTTTAGGGTTGTTGTACATAGGGTCGCTATGGGTCACAGGAGACTCAACAGCACATAACAACAACAATATCCATCAACAGGGAACGTTGTTCCATTTATTTAGATCTTTTATTGTTTCTTGAAGAAGTGTTTTGTAGTTTTCTTAGTAAAGATCTTTTGTGTCTCTAGTTAGGTTTATTCGTAAATATTTCAATTTGTGGTTGGTCATTGTAAAAGGTATTGCTTTCTTGGTTTCCTTCTCTGTGTTTTCTTTGTTACTATAGAAATCCTACTGACTTTTGTGTATTGATCTTGTGTCCTGAGACTACTAAACTGGTCCACTAGCTCTAACAGTTCATTTGTTGAGTCCTTGGGGTTTTCTGTGTATATCATATCATCTGTACATAACAACAATTTTTTTTAATTTTATAAAACTCAATGTATATGAATGATTGTATCAACACAATGTGAATATAAGTTTGTGTGAAACACAATGAACTTGGAAGAAACACAATGTATGCTAATTTTGTATGCTAACTGATATAATTACTTTAAAAATGAGTTAAATACCTGGTCAAAGATATTTAAAAAGAAACAGAGTGGCGGACCGGAAGAGCGCGGATCGCATCGCGCATGAGGCAACGTCCCTCCACTGCACGTGGCTGCGCCCTGGTTTGGGTGCGGACACCCAGGCGCCCTGACTATCGCCGACGCGTTCACTGAGGCCAGCGAGAGCCCCGCACGCGCCCTGCCGGCCCACGTGGCCCCGAGGAGGTTCATCTGCTCCTTCCCAGATTGCAGTGCCAATTACAACAAGGCCTGGAAGCTAGACGCGCACCCGTGCACGCACACAGGGGAGAGACCGTTTGCTTGTGACTATGAAGGCTGCAGCAAAGCCTTCATCAGGGAGTATCATCTCAGCCGCCATGCCCTGACCCACACCGGAGAAAAGCCATTTGTTTGTGAAGCTAGTGGCTGTGGTCAGAAATTCAACACTCAATCAAACCTGAAGAAACATTTTGAGCGTAAACACAAAAACCAGCAAAGGCAGTATGTGTGTGACTTTGAAGGTTGTAAGAAGGCCTTTAAGAAATATTAGCAGCTGAAAGTACACCAGTGCCAGCACACCAATCAACCCCTGTTCAAGTGTAACCATGAGGGATGTGGAAAACACTTCGCATCACCCAGCAGGTTGAAACTACATGAGAAAGTGCATGAGGGTATGTACAGATGGTGCTTTGTGAAACTCACTTTGAGTAAAGCACCTCACTAGAGGATATTTGTTTAATTCTTAGATTACATAAAATGCTTTATATTCTTCTCCTTAGTCATACAGAGAAAATAGAAATTACATGTTGGGGAGGAACCCCCCCCCCCCACTGTTGTCAGGTTGTTTCCAATTCATCGTTACCTTCCATTTCTTGAGGCTGTAAATCTTCATGTGAGGAGTCTGTCTACCTGGTAGCTGCTAGATTCCAATGCATTATGCACTGTGCCACCAGGGCTCCATATACATGAGAAAGATGGTTCAAATTTGACACAGAGGTGGCACCATTCTGCTTCTTCTGAGTTCATCCTCTTATCCAAAGTTGTTGTTATGTGATGTTAAGTCCCCTGCAACCCTGTGTACAATAGCTTTGCAGCCTACCCTGTTCTGAACCAGTCTCACCGATTCTGACACACCTACCCTCATTGCCTTAGTTACTGTATCAATCCATCTCACCCGAGGTCTTCCTCTTCTTCACTGTCCCTCCACACTTCCAACCATGATGTTCTTCTCCAAGGACTGTTCCCTCCTGGCCACATGCCCAAAGTATGTGAGATGGAGCTTCAAAATCCTTGCCTCCAAGGAGAGACTTGGTTTCACCCTCTCCAAGACAAACCTGTTTGTTTTCTTGATGGTCCGTGGTATGTTCTTGGGATTTTTTTTTACATTACCACCACCACCGATAACAACAACTATCTCTACTATCACTACTACCACCATCACCATCACCACCCCACCACCAACCATTTCCACCATCACCATCTCTACCATCAACCACCACCACCACCATCATCTCCACCATGACTACAACCACCATCACTATCACCACCCCCACTGCCATCTCCACCACCATCACCACCACCAACATCACCATCTCCACCATCAATACCACCATCATCAACACCATCACCATCTCCACTATCATTACCACCACCATCACCATTATCACCCCCACCACCAATAACAACCATCTCCACTATCACTACCACCACCATCACCATCAGCACCACCACCATCTCCACCTTCACCATCACCATCTCTACCATCACCATCACCACCATCTCCACAACCACTACCACCATAATGAATGAAAAAAAACCACCCAAACAACTAAACAGTCCACACTCAACCCTCACGAAGACAAGAGAAATCATCTTCCAGAATCCAACCAAGAAGAGAAACAAAACAAAAGAAATTTGGAGGCTCATGTGTGAAACGGTTGGATTTTTTAAGATGGTTTCTTTTGTCTTGGTGAGGGTCGGATATGGACTGTTTGGTTGGGTTTTTTTCATTTACAGATGTGAGCTGATTGGATTTGCCACATTTAGCTAACACATTTAGCTGTGGGCTAGAAGCCTTTTGGTTTAGAGTCAACCATGACCTGGTAGGTGGGCCTTGGATTTAAAAGGCAGTTGGGCCCAACTAAGTCTCCTGTTTGGAGGCTCATATGTGAGGTGGCTGGATCCTAGGGGCTTAGTGGTAAATAGAGCTGCCAATCTACCAGCTGCTCTTCAGGAAAAAGATAGGCTATCTCCTCCCATGTAATTTATTGCCTCTGAAAATCCATTGGAGAGTCAGCTGTGGGTGGCCTAGTCTGTAGGGAATTGTGCTGCAAACCTAAAAGTGGCACCTCTATGGTGACTCTAATCCACCAGCAGAAAGAGGGAAAATAATGAACTCATGAGATAGCTACAAAAATCTGCTGGAGGGAAAAAATAAGTAAAATGAATATATGATTATGATTATGATATACATATGACAACAGTCCAGAAAAAGAGGACTGGGGGAGGGAAAGTAGCTAATTGTCTAACAGTGAGTGAATATTATAAAACAGAGTGAACTGGGAGAAGGGGAATGGAGGGCAAGGAGGTAAAATGTGCAACAATGAATGAACGAAAAGATAACTTCTCTGTAAATGTTCATTAAAATCACAGTTAAAATAAAATTTTACTTTTAAAAAAATCTGCTGGAGGATAAGTATTGAGTTAATTCCAACTTGATCTCAAGGAGAGAGAAATATTCCCTTTTCTCCTCAGTAGAGAATGAGGCAATAGTAAAATTCTGCATTATAATCTAGTTCACAGAATCTGATACATTTGGTGTAGAGGAACATTGTCAAAAACAGTTACCTTGCAACAGGCAAAAGTCCTTGCCTTGATTGCTCGAAGGACAAAAATAAATCCCTTAAAAAAAAAATCCCTTCCTCAGCACGCAGGTCCTTCTTGGCCTGAATGCTTACATTTCTGGTCCATTCTTTCCATCTTTCACTCTGCCCCTAGTTGCTTTCTATCCCACTAATTTGCTCAGATTAATAATTCTGTCTTCTGGCACAAGACTTCTGTACATGCTCTTCCTTCTGCCTAAAATATTCTTCCCCTCATACTTTAGTTAAATTCTGTTTTCAAGGCTCTGTACAAATTTCATATCTCCAAGGAAATCTTTGTCTCCCTCTATATGATGTGTTATCATGAATGCATGAATGCCTATGTATTCCCCTCATAGCATTTATTATGTTGTATGTCAATTTAAAATCAGAGTCACCTGGTATATGTAAGTGAAGCAGTGTGAAAATGAAGTCTTCCCTCTGTTTAAAATCTAGAATCTATTTTGGAATGTTAAAAAACTTCCCTTTCTTACCAGGCTGGAAGAGATCTATATTAATTATCATTCCAAAAATAGGTGATCCAACAGAGTATGTTGTTGTTGATTGCCTTCGAGTCGGGCACGACTCATTGTGACTCTGAACAAAAGGCCTGAAGCCCCTCTCCAACTATCAACATTTACCAAAGTTCATAGAATTTCCAGAGGCATGATGTTTAGGAAGGGGATGCCACTCCTGCTTCCAAACCTGTCATAGTATGTTATTGTTGTTATGTGCCGTTAAGTCACCTGTGTACAATGACCCTATGTACAGCAGCTCTGAACCCTTCCTTGTTCTGAGCCAGTCTCACTAATCCTGACACACCAACCTCCAGTTACTGTATCAGTTCATCTTATCCGGAGTTTCCCTTTCCTGCACTGTCCGTCCACCCTTCCGAGCATGATGTCCTTCTCCAAGGACCGATCTCTCCTGGCCATGTGCTCAAAGTAAGTGAAGCGACACTTCAGAATCCTAGCCTCCAAGAAAAGACTTGGTTTCACCCTCTCCAAGACAGACCTATTTGTTTTCTCGGCAGTCTGTGATATGTTCAAGGCTCTTCTCCAGCACCACAACTTGAAGGCAACTATTCTTCTGTCATCCTTAGTCATTGTTCAACTCTCTGAAGCATAACAAGTAATTGAGAAGACCATGGTCTGGATTAGTTGTACCTTTGTATCTTGACTGACATCGTTGCTCTCCAGTTCTCTGGAGAGGTCCATGACAGCAGATTTTCCCAATGCAATTTGTCTTTTGATTTTTCTGACTGCTGGTGTTAAGAGTGTTGATTGTGGATCTGAGCAGGCTGTAATTGCTAACAACCTCAAACTCTTTTGCAACTATTATGGTACTTCCAGTTGGCCTTTAGTGAGCATCTTTGTCTTTTTGATGTTGATCTTCAATCCATATGGAAGACTACAATCCTTGCCCTTTTGCAGCACATGCTTCAGGTTTTCTTCAGTTTCAGCAAGCAAGTTGTGTCATCTGCATATTGTAGGTTGTTAATGAGTCTTCCTCCAATCATGATGCCACAGTCCCCCTCATAAAGCCCTGCTTCCTGAATGATCTGTTCTGCATATAGAGTGAAAAGGCACAGGGACAGGATGCTTCTCTGACATATTCCTTTCTTGATATTGAGCCATGCAGTGTTTCCTTGCTCTGTTCTGAGGATTGCTTTTTGATTCAAGTATAGGTTTCATTCACATAAGAACAGCTAAATGTTCCAGAATTCCATTTTCCTCAAGGTTAGCCACAATTTACTGTGATCCACACAGTCAAATGCCTTTTCATAGTCAATGAAACACAGATAGACATTCTTCTGGTACTGCTTTCTGCCAAGATCCATCTGACATTGACAATAATGTCCCTACTGCCACAACCTCTTCTAAACCCAGCTTGTATTTCTGGTAGTTCTCTGTCAATGTACTGTTCAAGTAAATCATTAATATCACATGCAAGTAAAATCTTGCTGAAGATTATTAAAAATTGCTACAATGGTACATCAACAAGGAACTGCCAGAAACTAAAGCTGAATTTAGAGGAGGCCACAGCACAAAGGATATTATTACTGATGGGTGTTAGATGAAAGTACAGAATACCAGAAAGATACTTACTTGTTTCAGATGTTTTATTGATTATGCAAAATAATTGAACTGTGTGGATTGTAACACATTATGGCTAACATTGAGAAGAGTGTGAATTCCAGAACACTTAATTGTACTCATGAGAAACCTATACCTAGATTAAGAAGCAGCTGTCTAAAGAGAATTTAAGGGAACACTGTGTGGTTTAAATAAAGAGAGGTGTGCGTCAGAGTTGTATCCTTTCTCCATATCTACTTAATATGCATGTTGGATAAATCATTCATAAAGCTGTACTATATGAAGAAGAATGAGGCATCAGGATTGGAGGACGACTTATCAACAACCTGTGCTATGCAGATGACAGAACCTTACTTGCAGAAAGTGAAGAAGACTTGAAGCACTAACTGCAGGTGATCTATGACCACACCCTTTGATACAGGGTGCAGAAATACTTAGATCCTCCTCACGGGACAAAGAGGCAACATTATGATAGATGGAGAAAAAAATTGAAGTTGTCAAAGATTTCATTTTACTTTGATTCATAATCAAATACAGGAGTTTCAATAGGGAAATTTTCTCAACAGCAAGGATGTCAGTGTAATGACTCAAGT